TGAGCCGAAGGCGGGTCTTCCGCCGGCTCCTTCTCCTTTCTGCGTTGTACCGGGGGTGAGTCATGCCTATGCGTAGGCACCCGCCTATGCGTAGGCGAACTTTCTCTGCCTATGCGTATGCACAAGTCTACGTCCGCAAGGGGTCGTGTGGTAACACACTTTTTGTTTTTTTGCCGAATTTAAACAATTTTAGAAAACTAGTACCGAAGCAGTGTTTGTAGTTAGAAAAGGGTACGTTAAATAGAGTGGATTGATGAGATCGTCACGAGGTCACGAAGAATCACGTAGTCGGATGTACCAACGCCAATGTCTTCGGCGCCTTCGGCAAAAGCTCCTTTTCTGAGGTGTCTCTACTCACGCGCTTCCAGCGTATAAGGAAGCTACGCTTCCGGCGCAGACACCTCAGGAGTAGGTTTTGCTAAAGACGTCAGGAGAAGGGCCCGGACCTCTGAAGGCGTCCGACCATGAGTGCGCCTTCGGCGATGCGCCGCTGGCGCGGAAGGGGAAAACCTTCATAACGATCGGAATACACGGTAGATCCAGTTGGTTGAAGTCACATTAGAAAGAGCTCGGGACGCTCGTTCTAACGAGCCCAAGAGCGTCGGAGATGGATCAGGGACGGAGAAGCTATGAGCGTCGGAAAACTCGTAGCCGGACATGCGCCGTTCGCGCTAGGGTTCACAGCCGGAAAGGATTCCCGTATGCCCTCGGCGATGCGCCTTCGGCGGAATCACGCGCTCATAGGAGGAAACCAACTCAGAGTCGGAAGCGCCTTTGGCGGCTGTTCATGGAAGGAAAGCCCCGGTCGGATGTACGCCTCCGACGTGGCGCTGACGGTCGGATGCGCTGGCATGATTTGCGCTGGCGGATATGCGCCGTCAGCAATGGACGAGGCATAAAGGACAAAATAAGCGGTACGACTGCGTGCCGGCGTAATTCGCTCCGACTAGATGTGCGCCTCCAGCAAGGCGCCGACGGATAAGGAACGCACCAGCGGCGACACGCCTCCGGTGATGGACGGGTTGGGAAAAGACAACATAGCCGACGTATACCCTGCGGCGGACTCGAGTCCGGAAGGTGGCGGCGGCGGGAGAATTCAACATTCACGCATGCGAATGCGCGCAGTGCGGAGACGTGAATTCGCGCATGCAAAGGGCGAACCGTTAGGCCGTATAGCCGGCTGCGTACGTTGTAACCAGTAAGAACGTTGGACGTTCTTGAAATCGGAGAAGAAAAGACTGCGCTCCAGTCTCATTCTCTCATTCTTGATTTTGCGATTTCCAGTTTCCAAGATTACGCGCAAGAGCGGAGCGACCTGCAGTGAGAGAAGAGAGTGCGGAGACGAGTTGCGCAAGGATCTTGACAGACCTTGGAAAGAATTGCGAGTAGCGAACTTGAGCGTGAGCGAAGAGAGAGTGAGCAGTCAGTGCTTGAGCGGCCGACGCGCAGTGGCGATTGTGAGAGAGCGAGCGAAAGGGAGAACGTTTGTGTGTGCAGGAAACGCAATGTCGAAGGTTCCCCAGCTGCGAGTGTCTCCACTCAGGGTGCCGCAGATCGGTCTACGCGCATTTCAAGATGTGCTGTTGGGGCTGAAGCTCGATTTTCTCCTGTGGGGGTGGAACTGGACATGTCCGGAGATGGTGCGCGAGTATCTGCAGGAGAGACACAAGCCCTCTCGCGGATTCCGTACACATCCAGAAAGATGGGACATTTGTAACTGGGCGCAGGTGTTAGGCAGGTGTGCCGGCGAGGAAGGGGATCTCCTCATCGAGGCCGATAGCGTGAAGGTGTCCCAGGAGGAAGAAATCTCCTACAATGAGCTCTTCAAAGTTGCCAGGCATCCCAAGAACGGTTTCCGGACACGGGATTACAAAGATCGATTGCGGAGAAATGTCGCGACTGCATTGCTGCAGATATTGCAGCCAACCAAGACCGCTTACATGCATGGTTGGCAAGTAGAATTTGTGGAGCTAGTGTTGTCAGGAGCTCCAGTGCATTGGGCACGGCTCCTGTGGAAGGTGACGCGCCAACATGCGCAAGAAGAGAAAGGAGGAACCCTCAATCATCTATCGCCTTACTTGATCGTGTTTTATCGGGCGATGGGATGTTTGACAAATTCTGAGAAAACACGGTTTCCGCAGCTGACCCGGAGCTATCCAGGTAGATACTCGAGGGAGGCCGAAGTAGACACGGATCCGGACGAGGAACCTGCCAGTCCGCCTCCGGCTCCGGCTCCAGCAAGAGCAGCAGAAGAACGTCGAAGTGAGCGCATTCCGTGAAAGCGGAAGTGGGATGAGAGACCTGAGGACAGGCAGCCGGAAGTGCCAGCTGCGCCGACTCGTGGTCGGCCCACCCCCGAGCCTCACAGTCGACCAAAACAGAGGGCACGCAAAATGCCAACTGGTACTGAGGAGACCGGGCGTACTCCGATCCGGCGGAATCTCACACAGGAGGAGATAATCGTGCAGATTCTAGGGAAGACGACAAATACCTCTGCAAAGAAGGCACCAATGCCTTAGGGAGGAGATGGACGGACTGACAGTCGGCCGACTACGAGTCGGGCGACTAAAGGCCGACAAGCGGAAGGAAGGCCAACTGAACGGCGCGTTGAACCGGACAGCAGGCCGGAAGCAAAAGAGAGTTTGGCTGACGAGCCAACAACCCTCAGAGGGTCGTCCTCGGCGGAAGGCACTTCTGGGAAAACGCCACCGGCAGGCAGGCCAAGTGGAGTCAAGACGCGCAGGGTGTATCCGACTCCCAGTCGGACAACTGCTGGTCGGCCGACTGCGAGTCGGTCAACAGAGAGTCGGCCGGATTCGCCGACTGCGAGACGGACAGGGCCGGCGACCAGTGGGCGGACGCCTTCGGCGGACGCACCTTCAGCGAAGACACCTTCCGCGCAGATTGCGCCGGAAGGGCAGGCAGCAGAAGCGGGCGGTGCAAAGGTGACAAGAGTCACTGCGGCGTTGACCCCTTCGGAGACCGAAGATCGAGCCGGAACAGGGGCTCAAGCAGTGGGATCTCCCACTGCCCTGGATATTTTAGCAGGCAGTGGAGCAGCAGTCGCAGCGGAAGCTGCTGCGCGCCACAGTTCCAGGGAGTCGCCAAGGGATTCGGTGGCGATTGAAATCCTCGAGACTGAGGATGAGACGAGCTCGGAAGAGCAGGAAGCGGATTCGGTGCAGAAAACGCCAACAGGGGTGCTGTGCGAGCAGATAGTCCCACTCCTTCGATATCTGGATCGCAAGACATCCAAGTACGCGGGTACTGGAAAACCGCAGTCTTATGTGGAGACTATCAGGCAAAGGACGAGGAGCAAGGTGGCAAGGTGGGCCTCTAGGTGCCAAGTATATGTGGATAGGAACACCGCCCTCCGACAACACCTGGCGGTCACACAGAAGCTGTACCAAGCCTTGCAGCAGCAGAGGGAGGATGCGGCGACGAAAAGTCAGGCAGATGCCGAGCTAATGCGGGCAAAGATCGAGTCGGAATTGCAGGAAGAGCGGAGACAAAACCACGTCCTAGCAGCCGAGCTTGCGCGCCAGACGCGCGCCTTAGAAGAAAGTCAAAGAGCCCGCAAGGAGGATGAGGAGTTGTTGCGCAACTTGCAATCCGAGTGCTCGGATTTGAGGGCACAACGTGCGGAAGCGGAAATGCAGCTAGCAAAGGTGGAAAGCAGCTGCAGGGCGCGAGGAGAGTTGGCGACACGGGTGACTCGTTGTCTAAAAGGATACGCCCATTGGGAGGTGGCAGCTCAAGAGAGGATCACACTCAGGGAGTTCGAGCTTCGGGCGGCGGCATTGACGGAGGGTGACAGTCGGAGTCGGCGGCGAGTGGCGAGGAAATTAGAAACCTTCTTGTCAGGTGCGCGCGACACTATGGCGCACTTAGAGTCGGAAGTCACTGCAGCGCTCCGACGCCTGGGGTTGCGCAGCCGGTCGGAAGACTGGCAAGGAAGGGACAGCGAGCGGAGTAGTCCGGCGCGCAGGAGGCGCAGCACCGGATCCGCCGAATGCAGTAGAATAGTTTGGTTTCGCGCAGATGTTGCGAGTAGTAGATAGGATAGCGTAGTGCTAGTTAGGACCTTTGAGGGTATAAAGTAGATCAAGGCGTTTGGCCTTCGGACTCTTCCAGTTTCGGAAGTGCAGATCAGGAACTCACTTTCTTGGCGTGTTTGTGCATTTTGGTCCTGGCACCACGTAGAGAAGCTGCAGCATAGCGAAGTTACCGTATGTTGTAGTTGAAGGTCTTCGGCTGAATGTTCAGAGCTAGCACCCGGTTAGAGACTTGAGTAGTGCGGATCTGCACCTACGGGTGATTTCTGATGCTCAGAGCCGGCTGCGAGTTAGATACTTGAACAGTTCCCCCTTACTCCTTCGCTTCATTGCTCCTCTTATTAGTCAACTGACCTCTCCTACTTTTGTTTAACTCCTTGAACTTTGAAAATCGTCCTTTACAAATCTTAAAATCGAAGAATACATGAGTGCATGTGGTAAGCTCGCGTTCAATATATCCTCGGGTGACACATATTATCTCAACAAATTTTTTGCCCATATCGGGAGACACGGTCACTGCGTCCCTTTCCTGGCTACTGTCGCTTGGAGGTGGCTGGGATGACGGTGAGATGACAAGTAGGGAAAGCCTGAATTTCGCTGGGTAGCTCACCCTGACTTGTTCCGGGCACAACTCAGAGAAAGCTATGCATGATGACCGCTTAAATTGACCGGTTGAAAAGAAAGTCCCTTCCACATAACGAACGTGCAATGCCTTGTCTTAACAGTTTGGCTCACCATGAAAACTCGCGTTAAGTGTAGAGCATCTCAACTCATGGTTTACACACAGGTGTTGAGGTGTTCTGACGAAAGTCGATGTATTTGAGATAATCTGCCGATACGCCCGGTCTCATCGGTCTCTTTGACAACTGTTACTCTATTACTTGTTATGCAATCCCGACTTTATCAAACCGTCTGCCACATCGCCATCGCATGTACTCAGAAAATATGTCAATTTCTATTCCTGTGAGCAGCGAATAATCTTCCACAGAGATTTGCTCTGTGAGACGGAAGTACCGACACGTACCGAATGCGGTAGGTATGAGTATAAGGCCAGGCTGCAGTTTCTCTGATCGAAGTAGCTTAGAATAAGATCAGGATTGAAAATTATTGTGTCATGTGCACTGACACTGCATAATCGACTTAAACTTATCTGCTCGACAACGGAAAGCTGCGAAAGATTTTGCTGGCTTCCAAGACCTTCTATCTCCAGACAGAAACAGAGGTCCAAGAATGCATTCGCTCGAAATTGACAGCGCTACTTTCTGCTTTATTTACATGCAAGCAGAAGAATACCGGAAGAGCAAGCCTATAGCCTAAAATCTGTACTAAACGACTATGTACAAATCAATCACGATCGGTCCTTTAGTTTCCATCGTGATCAGCTGACTACAGAACAATGTCAAACCTGGGTTCGCATAAGTGCACATCGAGCTTCCTCAGGTCCAGGCAGTGGAGAATCGCTGCATGATAGGGTGCATCCGTGGCGTAGCTGGACGGGTGCGCGGGTAATTTCCACCACATCTGTTTCTGCATGTCAAACATTGCGCCTTCCCTCAGACTGTTCGCAACAACGACAAATCCGTCCGTCGCTGCACTCTGAAACTGCTTCTGCTTTTTGAAGTCATTGATCTTCTCGACGATTGCTTCCGGCATCTCAGAGATTTTGACCCACTCTCGTACGTCCTTCTTGGACTGCTGCGCCGGTTGTCCCGACTGCAATTTCCATACGCTGAATTCTTGCAAGACCGAGATCCTGCCGTAATCGAGTTGCTTGGACCGCACCTTGCCGGCTGCAAATATTACGCCGTGATTGTGAGGAGCGAGAGCGGTGAATTGCACGTTCTGAGGAAACGAAAGGTTCTCAGCTCGCATCCAGGTCGGTTCTCTCAGCCAATTCTTGTGGGATGCATCCAGGCTATAAGGACGCCACCTGTCGGGCATGATGGAGAGGCTTGCCTTGCCCAAGCAGCTAAGACTTCCACCTTGCATGCAAGGCTGCTGGAATTCGACGAGTCTATCTCTGGGCCATCTTGCAAGCTGTTCCCACGCACCGCTTTGCAAGTCATAACGGTAGAAAATCCACGAGACATTGTCTTTCGGTTCTAGCCATCCCAACTCTGGCTGGTACTGGACAAGGATTTGATGGGACTGGGTGATGTCATTCCAAACAAGGCCCAGAATTTTGGCTGCGAAGTGGTCCTCCAAGTGGGCCAGTAAAGAGATTCTTTTCTTGGTTGACGGATCGAGCGGATTCATGACAAAGAGCTCAATCTTCATGGATCTACCGCCTTTCTCATTCCGAGGGCGGTACAGCTGAAGAAGCAGAAGACCATGTGCAGCGCCTACCACACGAACGCTAGTCGTTCTGAATGAAAATGCAGATTCGTTTGTGAACCTGAAGAAAGAAGGAGGGTAATCAATGCCGCAAATCTGCCAGCGATTCTTGGAAGGATTGTACACGCTGTGTCCGAAGTCCTTGCATCCGACGAAGCACAGAGGAGCTTGATTTGGATCCCTACCTCGCCATATCTTCCGGAACTCTTTGCTTCTTAGCAGATCGTCCCACTTCTTCGAGACGCTTCGCAGGCGCATCACCTCATACCAAGGCAGAAACCCAAGTATTGCAGCCAAAAGCTCATCCGGTAGATCATTCAACTGGTTGATTACCTGTACTGCCATATCGAGCTCCCTCCTCCCCACCACTTGGATTCTCGAAGCTTTTATTTCTCTAAGCTCGTCTTTCTCTCCAGAAGATTCCGATGACGTGCTGCTATAAAACTTGTAATGGTAGTACCCTACACGCCACTCGGCGGCAGCTACGCCCTGACACGCATGATTACTTGATTGTTCCGAACGACTACAAAAAGTCGGTGGTAAGATGATGGTGATAATAGCACCCTCTCGAGTGAAACTGAAGCGGAGTTGTCTTCTAACTCACATGTGTGTGCCAAGACTTCAATTCGCAAGAGACCTTCACAAAACTCGTGAGATTCCAAAGTTCGCTCCAGCTTTCGTTGCCCCTCACACACCAGCAATATAGTACAGGCGCTGCAGAAATTGAGATCCAGCGCACAGACGAGCAGACGAACTGATTTGCTCTGTTGCAACCCTACACCGCCCTATTATACAACCAGTCCTGCTGTGGCCTACTAGCGAGAAGCATTTTCAAGGAATTTCAAGGCCCTCCGACCGTCAGACTCACTCCCCAGAGGTTCATCCGTTCACATGTGTGCCAAACGAACAACTCCGCGCATCGCGACCGCGGGCAACTTCAGGTCCAGCCAACTTGGAGTAGGAACTTCAGGCTCACGAGACGAATTGTGAACTAAGAAGAAATGACGCAAAAGTTGCGTTCGTAAGCAATTTTGACATTTTTATAAATGAGTTTTTCATGCGTTGAACTCATCTCCCCAGGGAGCTCGCGAAACGAAAAAGATGGAAGCGTGTTGTCGTTTGATAGATGGATAACGCATCCGCTCCGACAGTCATGACGACATCTGCACCGTTTATAGCATAGCCAGGACAAACGACAAGTCCCATTACCTATAAGTGCTCGAGCCCCCTGATTCCTGAAGGCGGCTAGAAATTGGCATAACCTCAGAAAGAGTTGATGTCTGCTTCCACTGGACGGATTCCGTCTCTGAGGAAGTTGCAGGGTAGATTTTGGGCAGCAATGGAGCATGTAAGAAGGGGCGAGGAACTGAAGCATATGTTAGTTCATAGATGTCGATCTCCCTTGGGAGGTTTCTACGTCGGTATCCTCCCACGCAATCTCAGAGTACTGATTGGGCATATCAATCGAGCTGCCTTGCAACACGCATGCATGCCTGCATACAACTGGGTGCCATCTCCATGTGAGCCAAAACGAGATGTGATCATTAGACCCAATCGCAGAAAGTTGATTCTGAAGATCGATCGAAAGGGTATTGGAATCTTTCGGGTGGTACGATGGAGGGGAAGAATGTGTCGAAGCTGAAGACCCAAACTCACACATTTCGAGTTAGTTAGAAGGCCATACATCGAATTCGAAGAATGAATTCTTTAATACATCATAGATAGATTACATCAGAGTTCATTATGACTGTTCAAAGATACCAGCAAAGGAAGGCGGTGATATCTAAAGTCTCACTCTGACTTCCCCTGAATGTTGAATTAGAACCTTACAAGCATTTCTCAGATGATCAGCTGAGTTCAACTTTTCACTTCTGGCGGGTCTCACTCTTCATGTTGTCCTGAGTGGGTCTATGTTTTGGAAAAGGTGAAGATTTTAAGAGAACAAAAAGCTGTGAAGAGACTGAGCCTCGCATCGAATTTTTGGTACAGGAAGAGAAGGCGAGATCTTTGAAGTCTTGCATATCAACACAATGTATGCTCAATACAACAGGCTGTGGAATCTTCTTACCACGCAGAGTACGAGCCTGATTCACCTAAGGGTTGAGTTTCGTTAACTCGTAACAGTATTATTTAGGATGTGAGCTAATTTCATGTGAGGAAAGATCATGATCTGGAGTGACTTGGCAAGGGAAGATCAAGTCATATATCAAATCACCACACTCGAGAACAATGTTCGCAATTCGGAACTGCGTTTGAAAACTCCTCGTCAACGTATCGAAAAAACTGAGGAAAGCGTTGAATTCATCTCTTGGCCTGTCCTATCCAGGGAAGTCATGGAAACTTGTGTCGGAGGTGACAGGAATGAAAGTCAACAAGGCTCAGAAGTCAAGAAGCTTCTCAGAAGTCAAAGCGATTACGATGACTTGGACCAAGTCATTCTAATATAGAGGGAATATGTTGGCTGGAATTTGCTGGGGTAGGGGATTGAGCAAACCTTGAGCGACGGAAAGAATGTTAGAAAAGTGGGAGGTATAAGCGAGAAGAAGCCGAGGTCCCCACTTCCAGTTGCTGCACAAAGTAGGGCGGCCATACCCGGGGTTTATTGATTTACATGTCTTACAGAACACGATCGCACACAAGTACGACGCTACAAAGCCGATCGATATTCTCAATTTCTAGGCGTGTTGGCACAGCAGGCTGGAGCTGTAGCAAGGCCAACTTCCACAGGCCTTGGCTGACGATGTAAGTAATTTTTGACGTGTTCAGATTCTTTACACGAATATTTCCATCTCACATCAAATTCTATCATTAAGATCTATCATCAAGTGGGTCGATCAAGCGACGACATTCGATCACAATAATTTGCAATTGTGATCGTAAAAACATCGTTAACGTACATGAAAAAGGTTTAGATAGCGAAGAAGTCTAGTACTGCGACATGCATGTTCTATCCTTGAAGGGCCTGTCGGGCAAAGTGACATCGACTCGGGGCTCGCAAAGATGAAAGTCGAGGAGGTTCCAGAGGCCGCGATAATGAGTTTTGAACCATACGTATCTCTCCGTCCGTGACTGCGTTTCATCGTCTACGAAAATAGGCGTCGGCAGCATCTTCCAAAGCTTGGTCTTCAGGTTGAGCATAGCCACAGAGGCCCGAGAATTGGCAACGCAGACGAAGTTGCCGTTGGACGTGCACGTGAACTGTTGTAAGCTTGTCAGCGCCAGTGTGCAGAAATTGTTCGTTCCTCTGCGTTTGCCGTCGCGATCGTTGACACCGTTGAGTTTGTCCATTATGCTATCCGGCATTCTCTGAATCTCGATCCAGTGATCGTTGTTGCTGGAACAATTCCTCAGATCAAACGATCGACCGCTGTGCCATGGCTTCGAAGCCCAGATGCGGAAGTCCTTTAAGGTCGTGGACCCGGCCGGTGCACTGGGAGCCACCTTGCCTCCTGCAACGAAGCATCGGCCGCCTCGATGGAAGAGAGTTGCGAAGTGGAGAGGCTGAGGCGGCGGAGGCTCCACCATCCAGTTCTCCTCGAATCTGTCAAGCCCGAAAGCGCAAAACCTATCCCGCGACCACGTCGGGGAAGATGTATCGGACCAGGTGGACTTGGTCGGCGCTCCCAAGCAGAACAATCGGCCTTCCTTAACCGAAGGTTGCTGGAAATGTGTGGCTTCGTTTATCGGCCATTTCGCAACTCGATCCCACTCGTCGACTCCCACATCGTACCTATGAAATGTAGAGATCTTGCTTCCCGCCCTTCCGGTAGTGCCGATGGTCGGATCTGGTTGATGTTGGACGACGATCCAATGCGATTTCGTAATCTCATTCCACACCATTCCCAGAGGGATGGCTGTGTATGGGTGGCGAAGTTCAGGCAAGAGAGGAATTCGTGTTTTTTGCAGAGGATCGAGGGGATTCATGATGAACAAGTCATGCCTTACAGTAGGAAGAGATGGAATGGCCAAGACCCAAGGCTGAAGAACCTGCAGTAAAAGGAGTCCATGTGCTGCACCCATCACGCGAACATTCTCCACCTTATAGTGCGATCCGTCTTCGTTCTGAATTGTGTAGAATGCAGGAGAGTAGCAACTCCAATTGCCGGCCGCAGGATTGTAGAGGCTATTCCCATATTTGCAGTCAGCGAAGCAAAACGGGATTTGATCTGGATCCGCACCACGCCACCTCTTTTTGAAATCTCTACTTCTGAGAAGCTTATTCCACTTCTTACACACAACTCGCAAACGCAAAAGCTCACGCCAGGGCAGAAATGAAAGTATCAAAGCTTGAAGGTTGACCGGAATCTCTTCGCAGGCATCCGTGCTGTCCATATGAGAATCTGCAATGTCATTGGCGTCTACAAAACCGGCGCTGTCAAAGCTGCTGCTGCAACTGCTATTACTCATTGGAGAGGATTTGTAGAGCTCATTCTTCGTCACAATTCTTCGTACACATGTTCGTCCAAAAGGCCATACAAGATACTTGCCCTCGTCTTATTCATGGCCGTATCCGGTACAAGATGCAGCGAGGTGTAAGGCTGGCTATAGGTCATCCTCAATCTCCTGAGACAAAATTTTTGTCCAGTCGTACAACTCGCTCATTCTCATCTACTAGCCGTCGTCGAGTTTGCATCTCTGTCTCTGTCTCTCTCATATCCAAACACACCCAATCCTGATACGTGAATCTACAGACATGACCAGTCTCCTTCCTCGCCTTCTTTCCGTCGTTTCTCAGGTTTCTAGTGGCCGCCCTCTCTTAACTTGTTAAGCCACTCGTCCAAGCGACAGATCTCTTCTCAGATATTCATGGAGAAGCAGAAGGGTACAGTCTTTTCTGCGTCATCAACGGAATACTTTTGTTCATTTCTTCCGGCTTCCGGACCTAGCGAAGGATGTGGGCCAACGATTCAGGATTACTTAAACCAATTGACTATGTATGGTCTCAGAGAGCTTTGATTCTTGCCATTGTGGTCTTCTTGTTGCATCTGTAGGCAAGACCCTTGTCATGTTCGGAAGATCCCATATATGTTCGCATTGTCCTTCATCTCGTGGCATAAACGAAATCTAATTGCAGAAGGTGAACTGAAGAATACCCGCTTGAGCTGAGTGAGCAATCCAACCATGACACCATGCGAGGCCGACATACAGAAGACACGGAGTTCTGGAGGGAGAGATACGACTGTATCCCTATGTGTGCAGGGAACCGGCCCTCATAAATTGCTCAGTACTCCAAAATTTCTTTCTGTTCGGTTCTGTTCATTTAATCAGTTATCTCCGTAGAAAATCTGCCAACTTACACTGCGGTACTGTGTTTCATAGGATGGTGGACTGCCAAAATCTATCTCAACAGCTGAATGAATATATTGCCCTGAGTGTACACTTTAAACTGTACTTTGCACTGGCTGCGTGTCAATTACACAGGGCTTACCTTTGGAAGACCGAACGCGCTTTCGAGGTCAGTTACTAAATCAGCAACACCTGTAGCATCTCTATGTATGTGGCGCCGTTGCACTTTTCTGGCTCTGCGAAGTGAAGCACGCGGCTTTCGCTTCTTTGTATACAGAGATAGAGTACCATGGGACCAACTTCTATGTGCTCTGTTTGCAACTGTAAAATCTGGGCGGAAGATAATCCCTGTTGACAGTCTGAATTGGTTGGTCCCATAACAACTTGGTAACGATAAGATGCTTTTTTTCCCCGTTGACTTCTCTTGTCCGTTCCTCGCAGTCCACACAACGTCCAAACTTGCGCTCTTTCTCCCACGGGTCTATGTTGCAGGATGCTTTACACAGTTACTACAATCTTATAATAAAGGAGAAAACGTAGTCTACAGGTAAACACGAATATGATATGAGAAATCACATATGATTACAGGTACTTGCATGATTATCTCGTGTTATCCACTTATTTGAACCGATGACTCTGAGGATGGATGCTTGTTGTAGCAGCTACGGATCGAGCAAGCTACAGGCACGAAATTCCTATCTAAATAACCAGGCACACATTCAGCAAATGCCCACAACATTCCCGGCCTAAAAGTGAAGCTCGGCTGATCTTTGATGCACATACGAGCCCCGAGTTACTATGGGGACGCACTGATAAATATAATCATGAGTGCTCGGCACGCAAACACGGTGTCAACAGTCAACCGGAATCAGGAACGAGTTCGGAGCGTGGCGCCGGACCGACACCATAACTGTACGCGTTAGGTATGCACGTCTACCAGTAGGCCTCGGTCAAGGGAACGTAAAAGTTAAACAGTTAATAAAATGTACTCTACCTGTACTATACCCCTACCCTTATCACTTTGGTTACTTTACTTATACCGTTACCTCTATTTTAACCGGGTAATTTCCCAATAAAAAAATTAATTTTAATTTCACCTTTACACTTTAATCGAGTAATTAACCAATAAAAATCAAAAATACAATTTACCTTTAATTTATACGTTAATCAGATAATTATCCATTAAAAATAAAGAATACATCTTTACCCTTGAGTAAAAGGTATTTTACATTACCTTGCCTAGGCCTATTTACCAGGGTGCAGACTAACAAGCAAGTAGAAATTTCTGCCTTGTGATACTTCTCAATTTAGGTACTTTGTTTTCATACATCCGATCGTTGTATATTAAAAATACCAGTCAAAACATACCAAAATCTAAACAACTAATACTAAAGGAAACTTCATATACCACAATGTCATTCTGTTTATTGAAACTGTTTTGCTTTGGGTGGGATGCAATATACATATCTCGTCCTTTGTGTTAATGTGCTTGATTGCATGGGGCAATTATTGTCATAGGTGGATATGTAACGTTTTCTCTTCTTTTAATTAACGTGCTTCTATTGCTCATTGAAACAAACTTAATAATGAGATAAAAAATAAAAAATTACATAATGTGATGTATTATGATGTCTATGTTTCCGAAATGGTTTAATCTAGATAGTTTTAATATGTTTGTGACTCTCCCCTATCGGTGTCATCTTTGATGGTTTTGATGTGTCTTCCGTAGGTATTTATTTATCCGCTTAACCCTTTACCTTATTTTATCTTTTTCTTGTACTATGAAACCAACCTGGCTTTTATTCTTCTTTCTTAAGTGCGATGTCTCTGGTTCATAACCATTCTCCTTTATTAATTCTATCTGAAGCTCGTAGTTTGCTTCTCGTTCTTCTTCAAGAAGCAGGAAGAACAAGAACACCCCATCAAATCTTACATGGATAAACCAAAGGGATAACATGTGGTAAGGCCTGAAATTTCTTTGAATACACGGAATGTTATGTATCAATGTACAACATCATCATGGATTCTTGAAATTGTACATCATCATGGATTCTTGAAATTGTACATTAGCCTCCCACGTAAGTACTCATCCGGTTAAGTATGCATTTTATGACAAAATTTTTACGTATCAACACTTTTTGGTAAAACATATCGTGAATGGTCATCTGGCGCAGGTTTTGGTTTTTCTTGCATCTGGCTTTGACAACGAAGGCTCGGACATTGGCCTGAGATCTTTTAAACGATTTTTTGAAATAGTCAATTGCTTTTTCGGCTTTTGTTTGAACGATAGAGCAGAGCATCTGATCTTCAATATCAATTCAAACATAGACTCAAATCCATAAATTCAACTCTATCTTATAAATCGATAATCTTCTCCAGTTGACTAATATCTATATGTTCATCAAACCCTGTTTCATTACTCTTCATCAAGTCTAACAATTTTTAGATTATTTTTCAACATATCTGCGACATATTCTTCATTGCTTTGGTTATCAATATGAACAAATTTTTCCAATTCTAACGGGTTAATTGTAAATTTAAGCTTTTGTCCTTTAGCTAGTCTTTTATTATTTAGTCTTTACATTTAAGGGTTTGTCTTGCTCAGCGTTGAGATGATTTCGCAACAATGAAACTTATTCAGGCGCTTGCGGGTGAGTTTCTTTCACATTGCACCGAAACTTAGGCGACTTGGGAATGTAGAGTCTAAAATATGCAACTACCTGTAAATTACTTTAGACTCTTCATTCCCAAGTACGCACAAATCTCCAAGATTCAAATCGTAGACTTAAAACAGAAAACTATTGAATTTAAATTTCCGATGAAGAAGTACATATCTATTCTTGTCTGCCACAAGTCATTCTTGTTGATGTACTAAACCTTTTTTTTTTACTTCATCTCCTTTAATTATGAAATTTATCACTACTGAACATCTACAAAAACTACATGGAAGTTGAGCCTTAATGCCCAAATCATTCTCTACATATCTTCCTAGGTATAGTGTATGAGCACAGTGTGCTCATACACTATACCTAGGAAGATACTTGGTGGTATAGGCCATTTGGGGTGTGCTCAGCACACCCCAAATGGCCTATACCACCAAGTATCAGCCCAATAGTCGCTTATCTCTTAGTAACGGTTACTCTTGCAAAATTTTTAGCTGTTGATTGATACTTTTAGCGAATATCAATAACTCTCATTCCCGGCATATGCTGTGATAGCTGTTTCCTACAATTTCCAGCAAAATGAAGAAGAAAATCCAACAATAATTTGTAACTAGCCCAGTAAGTCAGACGCATTCTTCTTGATACAATACAGTTTTCTCCACTTTGTGCACTTCCTCCCAAAAATATGTGTATCAAGGTATATTCTGGCCACTTGTCGCATTTTCTACCTACAAAATGTGTATCAAAGTAAGTTCTCAGTGTATTGTCGTAAGCAAGACACTAAGAGTTTTAATGGCAAAATCTCAGTGCGACCTTGCTCAACGTTTAGGACGTGACAATACTGTGATTCTATTATTGTATGTTGTGTCTTGTTTTTCACGATCCTTCCAATTAATTGTTTCGAATAAGCGCAGGTTCCACATCACAGCAGTTATAGTCACAATCTTGTTGGAGATATGTATCAATTTTAAACCTCTCAAAACTAACACAGTATTGCAGAGGTACATAAAGAGAAAGAATAATGGAGAATGCAAAACGCTTAAGATACAAAGTAGTTTGCTCTTAACAACTTTTTATTGTTTTTTTATTTATTTTGGGTTTTAGTTGACGCAGTATTTTTTCTTAGAACATGTGAAGCCGATTACTGAATAAAATGGCGTGTTCATCTCTGAGCATGACCTCAGAACGAGGCTGAATAATAAGAAAGACAATCTTCATCAACACCAATTACAAAGAAGGAAAATTTATTTGGCGGAAGAAAATCTGGCGATTAATCAGGAAGTGCATTCCAAACAACTCCAATCTTCAAATAAGGTATCAATCCTATACTTTTTCTGAATACACGAAAGTCGCCAACTGAGTGGCGATGTGATTCATCCATTAAGGCAATATTTTTCTGCAATCATTTTGTCATATTTTCCGCGTATACACGTGTTCACTGGTGAAAAAGTAGTTGATCTTGCGGTCTGGACCACCTCCATAAGTCTAGCCCATATGACCGGGAGCAGGGATCAGAAATCGTCAGGGAAGTCAATAAAAAAGCATCAAATATCAAATTATTTTGCACTTGTTTGTACGTGTCTATGATCGCAACAACTTTTATTTTTTAACATGCAATATTCCAAATATCTTCATCTCTCGAACAAGAACAATTTAAGCAAGCAAATGACTTTTTTGAAAAGTACATACGGTGTTGACGATTGAGACGGATACAATATACTCTTGATGGTGGCATTGACCTAAATCCATTCATTCTATAGGAGTAGATATAGCTGAAAGCAAAGTATAAAAATATCATTTTCCCTGATTAAGACAGAAAAAACTAATGGAGACCAATAAATAACTATGTCAAATGTTGTCTTATCTTATATTCGAAGGTCAGGTGTATTTGTAAGATGGTTAAAAATTATTAAAAGATTGTTTTTTTAATAGATTTGTGTAAGAATTTTTTGTTCTTTATTGAAGATTTTTTATTACAAACAAACACACACAAAACACTTGTTCAGATCTCATAACAGCTTGCGTACCACCCTACCACCGTGACCCATGTTCCAATAAAGTTCTTGTATTAGTGTTGGGCGTTAGTGTTGGGGAGAAACTGGCCCTATCGAGCTAAATTATTTTCACTGGAGTAATTCAGTCTCTATAGTTATTTGTAGCTAACCTAGAACTCCTATTGGAATATGAGTGACAGTGGACTGCATGGTAGTCGTTAAAGATCCTATTGATAATGTTTTATGTTAGGTTTATCAAATGTTTTTCATACTACAAGGATCCCATCAAGTAATTTTCTTTCCATAAAGTCTACATAAATGCAATTTCATTGAACTCAAGTTCATGAAAACACAATACCGCTTCATTGAAAGCATTAATAAACATTGTGTCAATGAGAATTAAAATGAGCTTTATATAATGAACATAATACCTAAACTCACTAACCTAAAAGAATCACATTCTTGACAATATTTCTCTTCATTTATGTCTTAAACATTATAATCTACATGTTTATCACTTCAAATTTTCAAAAACGAAGTAATGTAGGTCAATTTGTAAGCTAGACTTAATTTAAATCAAGTCTCAACAAGAATAAGATTAAAAAATTGCATATACATAGATAACATAATTGTTAGTCAATCATACTTTTAAGCATATTCAAATTTAGCAATGTGAAATTGTCTTGAAAAACAGTTCCAAAAATTCATTTTTATAAAGAATTAGTAAACTTAAGTTTTTTGTAAATTTTTTTATTAGACACACATTATTAAAAAAGTGAAATTTGAAATTTATGAATTATACTAAGTAGTTCTACACACATTCACATTTAGATGTACAGCACTTTGATTGTCATGATAAACAATATCATGAATGTATATATTCAAATTGATAACTTTGATAGTGTGTATAAACTTATAGCTGTTTTGTTGACTAATGTTTATAAAAAAAATGACTTAATCATTTTCTTCCATTTTTTATCCTGTATGACATCAAATGTGATTTATATAAGTTCATACTCATAAATATAAAGCAAACACAAAAACTATTGAATTAGATGAAATTACAAGTTTAGGGTTGAATATTAGAACAAAAGACAAAAGTTTGTTGAAAATATGAC